GGTGGTGGCGATGGTCCTTTCAGTTGTTCTATTACCTTGACACCAACCGTGATGGGTATCTCTCTCGATACGAGTGGCAGAGGATGCTCATCATCAACAGGGCCCCGATAGCTGTCAGGCGGCTCGCCCTTTGGTGAGGCCTGTGGACATGGATGGGTGAAGGCAGGTATAGCACAGGCTCACTGAGGGCTTCGAGGGCGGCCCCTTCCCTTTACCCAAGGGCCCTTTCCTGGCTGCTACCCATGCCAAGCTGGCTCGACTGCCACCGACGTATGCACGTCTAGTGGATAGGACTCTGGACTCATTGGGGACGGGTGAGCGGCCTTGGTCCTGCTGAAGGGACGGCTGAGTTCAGGCCGGCCAAGTGATGCTGACTATAGCATCCTCAGAGCCATAGGAGGAGGCACTGAGATGGCCAACCTGGTGGCGTCGGAGGTCCTCTTGGGATATCGCAGGAGGCCTAGGCTCAGCTGGCATCCAATACCCAGGGGTAGTGGTGCCGGCCTGATGAGGACGCCTCTGGTAGAAGTAGCGGACGCGGCGGCTGATGGTATGGTGGAAGAGGGAGAGGCCGAACAGGTCTTGTCTGAGGAGGGTCTAGGAGGGCCAGGAGGAGTCCCGGGATCCTTTATGGAGATGGGGAGGGTAATGAGGAGGTGGGTTGTGTTCAGGGGAAACGGCTGGTGTTTAGTTGACGTCTGAGGACGATATGAAGGTGGCGCGGTACTCGATAGGGGCTCTTGCTTCGGGGCGGAGGGTCCCTTACAAGACCTTTCGAGACTTTGGAAGGAGTCTGAAGGCCCGAGAGGAGGCATTCACTGAGGAGGTAGGGAAGGCTTTGGTGGAGTCCTTCGACTGTGGTGCTGTGCAGGTGTTCCATCTGTTCGTTGGTGAGGATGAGACCAGCAATGAGATCACCGTGGACGACTTCGATCGGCTACACCTGAGTTCTAAAGATATGAGGTGGGCCGCCCTGCCTGAGGCGGCACAGGCCCCTCACACGAGTCAGGAACCTTCGCCGAGTGTACCTTGTATGTGACTCGCTCGCTATCAAGGCCAAGTTCGATGAGATGGACAGGGATGGAGACGGACAGCTGGGGAGAGGGGAGGTCCCTTTGGAGCCACATCAGGCTTGGGTGAGGACCCTGTAGGGGCGACTTGATGGGCCGTGGGCT